AATTTGGCAACTATTTGCAAAAATCCGCTGATAATTTCCATATCTGGTTAGCACGCACTCTGAATTTCCAACACTGGTGCAGTCAAAACACCCGTGAAAATTTATGTCAGGATTAAAAAAAATACTTAGAATAGGGTTGGGATTCGTACTTGTACTCGTACACGTACGTATGAGCTTAATTTTTTTTTAGTATGGTTGGCTCGATCTAAAGACCTCCTATTGCTGCGCCATGCGGCCAAATTTCAAAATAGCAATTTTGTAATCCGTTCAAAATCTTTCAAAAAATAGAACTTCACGTGATTTTGGTTTTCTTACTGCCAAATTTAGATACGATGGTCAAGAGCTAGTCTAAATTTGGTAATATTTTCCCTAAATTTAGAAATGATCATAGTGGACAAATTCCTCGCGAGCATAGAATTCTACAACATTAAAACTAATGACATATTCTATCAACCAATAGAGCTATTTTTTAAAAGGTAGGACAGAAAGTGACTTCTATACTTTTAAAATTTGCCCAAAATTTGGGAGGTCTTTAGACTGAGCCAACTATATACATTGTACGAACATATCATGTGATTTATGCCAATTTTTATTGGTTGATCAAATGTAATATACATTAAAATTCTTTTTCATAATGATAAACTAGAAAGGATCGTTTTTTAATAATTTCCAGTATCCATTTCCACCAGAACTTGTTGCTGGATGATCAATACTTTGGACATCTAAGTTATAAAGTTCATTTAGAAACAAAATTATCTAAAAGGACCATAATTAGATGATTGGGATGAAGCAGAACTACATACTAATAGAAAGAAATCAATAATTGTTAATTAAATTAAAAAAAAATTTTTTGAAATTTACTTTGTTCTTTTTACTGTATTGTTATTATTATCGTTATTATTGCTAAGAGCTAGTATTTTAATTTTTTCTTTTTGACTATACACAACATGAAAATTTTGACAACCACTAAAATGTTGCATTATATGTTCGATTATATCTACTATCGTTTTTAATTCATTGCTGTTTTCACCAAGTTTAATAATTTGTTACTAGAAACACTTTTTTGTTTTGTTTCGATGATGTAATCTTTCAAAGCTTTGACCATCAGAATAAAAGAATTATGAAATTAACTACTGAAAAATTCAAAAGGTTGTAAAGGTAATTTTTTTATTCATTATTAATAATAGGAAAAAAAAAATAGAAACCACGGGATATGTACTTTTTTTAACACAGAATATAAAATAAAAAGGGCTCAAATAAGAGGTTTTTCCTGATAATGAAGTAGTATTACGACCCCGGTTACAACATCTGATAATCCGTTAATTATAGTAAATAGGGTTAACGGCTTAATAACAATAATAATAATCTTATTATTATAGGACTTCACAAAGCAATGTAGAAAATCATTGTTCCTCATATCGTATGTTCGTACGTACACACCTACATATGTAAAACTTCCTCGTACAGGTGTACGACCACAACGAAACTGTACGAACTCAATTGTACAAAGTACAGTAGTACATCGTACGTACGTACAAAGATTCTTTTCGTACAGCAAAATTCCACAACCCTGACTTAGAATAATATTCGGTTTATTAAAAGAGGAATGTTTAATATTAATCTGGAAAGAATGAATAGATTAATAAATAGTGTCACAAAGGGCGGATAAACAAAGGAAATCTGACAAGATATCGAATTTTTTTTTTAATGAAATACAATATTTTTTGGTGTCTATGTTTTAGAGCAGTTTGGAATTGAATTGTTTTGTAAAATTTCAGAAACTAGATTTAAACATGAAATGCATTTTTTATTTGTACTACAAAGGTTGTTAGAACTCGCTATTGTGGCCAATTTTAATGATCAGCAAATGTCCTTATTATTATAATAATAACGTAATAGTAATAATAAAAATGAATGACAAGTGTATACTGAATTAAAATTAGACTTTTAGTACAGTGCCCAATTTATATATATAATTCAGTACAGTGCTGCCGACTTTCTATATACACACTAGTTATGATCCCAAAATGTTCGTCCACCATATTTGGTAAGTAGGATTTATTTGGCAATGAAGCAGTAAAGGAACAGGTTAATTATGTTCTTGATGATGACGAAATTATAGGAAAGTATGATGGAATTAAGATCCAATATATATGAGTTTCATTTGGTAGTACAACTTTGAACCTTGAAATCTTTTTTGTACATTTGTATTACAACATTATCTTTTTCAAATAATAATAATATAAAATCCATTATTTCTTCTTTTGTTAATTTGTATATGCGTTTATGTGGAATCTACAGCCGTCCAAGAGTAAACTATTTACTTTTGTATAGGAACAGAGAAATTTTTACATTTTTGAAAAGGCACGATTATGCAACTTTTATTGGTGAGTTTCTATCGTACCTTTTTTTTTTAATAAAAATTCCGCCAACAAATTATTGGCTAATTTGGCCATGTATGCATCTCAATATCATGTGACCGAGGGAATTATCCTAAATTGTCAAACAATCAATAGCAAATCTATGATTAATTTTTTTAGGGTTCACAATTACTATCCTGGACATTAAAGTTCGAGCAAGGAAATTTATAATGAAGTTTCTTTAATTGTTTAAAACAAATTGTTTATGTAATTAAGAATTTGAAATTAAAACCAGAGGAAAAAAAATTTATCCACGTGATTGTAATTAATTTATTTATAGACGTTATCATTAAAAGATAGAAACTTCTATTAGAAAAAAAGGATTACTAAATTAAATTTTTCATTATTTTCATTATTACAAAAACGACATCACATGTATAAATATTAATGCATCTTTCTTCATTATTAAGAAAAAAATAACATCGGATTATAAATTCAAACTCTATTTTGAAAAGTTCATTTTAGTGAATCAAAAACAATTGACAATTAAAAATATCATATAAACACCTGGAAATTCTTTCTTCTTTCTTCTTTCATTCGAATTTGAAAATAACAATGAAGTTTAAGGCAAAAACATTTATTAACCTTTTTAATCTTAAAAAAAAAAACAAAAGATCCTCAAATGAAAAAAAATGGTTGGACAAAGCAATTAAACAGAAAAGAATTAATCTTAAAGATTACAGTATATTTTCCGATATTACTTATATCAATAAAGGTACTTCGGGACAAATTTATAGAGCTAAATGGAACAATGTATATGTAGCATTGAAAGAAATTAAAGATGACAGTGATATGAAACGATTTGTTTACGAGGTATGACGTTTTTATATTGTATTTGTAATTAATGTTATCACTTACTAAAATAATCTTTATTTTATCACGTGACTATTTTTAGTTTAGATCACATAAACGAGTTGATTATCACGACAATATTTTGAATATTCACGGGATAACGAAAGGTGATTTTTTCTTTGCATTTAAGAACCAATTAATAAAAAAATAATTAACAATGCATTCTATTTTTTTAAATTATAAAAATAGATCCCAACTCGGGCAATTATTTATTGGTTTTGCAATATGCAAACCACGGGACGCTCCATGAATATTTGTCTGCGAATGCTGATAAATTGGATTGGGAAAACAAACTACGTTTGGCATATCAGCTTGCTAGTGGTATACAAACATTGCACCATGAAGGAATAATTCATCGAGACTTGGTACTTTTTTAATGATTTCTTTCTTTAACAGTAGCATTAACGACATTATTAATATCATCGTTATTACTGCTATAAAGATTATTAATTAAAAACCATTTTTGTTTTCCTGTTTGTTTGTAGCACGCGGGAAATGTTCTTATAGTTAATGACAATATTAAAATTTCTGATTTTGGATTATCAAAATCCAGAGAACAAGTTTACGGGAACATGAGGTACACAGATATCAGACGTATCAGATACCCCAAAAATGAGAAATCGGACATCTTTAGTTTAGGAGTTTTGTTATGGCAAATCTCAAGTTGTAGGCCTCCTTATGAATCAATTAAAAATTATGAGCATCTTTATCCGTACGATATAAGAGAAGATAAGGTCGATGGAACACCTGAGGAATACTTTGACTTATACACCAGATGTTGGGATGCAGAACCAGATAATCGACCTGATATCAAATTTGTTGTTAAATGTCTTGACGAACTAAGAAAACATTACACCGTACCAAATGCTAAAAAGAATTCTATGAATGAACACTTACAAAATGCTTCGATAGATCCTAACAATTATCTTGATTTGCACGAACTTATAAATAGACGAGATCTGCGTATGAAACAAATGATGGGTGGCACTAGTAAGAATGATAAATATATTAGTGACTCTAACAACAACTGCAGTAACGAGGCCACAGTTAATTCTTATAGTCAGCTTTGCAATTCTCATAATGAAAATGCTTACTGTAATTCATCTTTACATTCTATTACAATGTTCATCCCGCCTCCTCCCAAATCTAATAATAATAATAACTTTTATTTTCTTCGGCATAACAGCAATGGCGATGATTATAATAACGCTGAATAATGAAATGATAATTAATTTTTTAAAATTGTCCTGAAAATAAATTATCTGACAAAAGCCCGAAGAAAATTTTGCATCTGCTGATGATGATAATAATAATAAAAGGGATAATAAAAATGACAATGATGATAAAGATGCCGACGACCAGAAATTGATAAAGTGGATATTATTTATTTGCTACTGCCAATAATTCTATTGAAGATAAATTGATTATGAATAATTCAATTAATTACTTGAACGAAGAATCAAATAATTCGGAAATGTTATTATTATTATTATTATGTAACCTTTTTTCTTTAAAGGTAATTTTTGTATTACTATTGCAGATCATTAATGTTTTTATTTTTTTTTTATTTTTAGTAAACATTTATTTGTTTATAACTTTATTTTTGTTTTTTTCATTTCATTTCTATATGTAAATATTCTATAAATTAATAAAACTATTTATTGATAATTTATTAATTAATTCTAAAATATGTAAAGTATTTAAAAATTTTGGATTATAATGCACCAAGATAATTAACCAAACTGCTCAACATTACGTCGTGCATTTGCTGATAATTTAATAAATAGAGTTACTCTTTATCTATATGCTAAAGAGCAACTTTGGCGAATCCAGATTAGTTATGAAAGATTGAACTTGATTCTTCAAAAATTATCGCAACAATCCATTCAAATGCTAGTTTATGCGGTAGCTTGTTAAGCTTTAAATTTTAATCGAGTAATCAATCCATCTGGTATAATTCTAAGAGAAACACTGACTCTTTTGATTAATAATTTATTATTATTTAAAGAGTGTCTGTATGATATTTCTAAAATAGAAGTGTGGCTGTGAAAATATAATATTTATCCATTCATTCAATGAACTCTAATTATATAATCGGATTTTTTCTTACAATAAAATGGAATATGGTAGCAAGCTCAAATGTGAATATATTACTAATTGGGAATTGTGTCAATTATTCAGTCCATTAGCTCAAGGTCGAACCAGCGGTAATGAAACTATTGAGAAGATGATTAAAAGCATCTAGTTAAAAGCAACAGGTTATGAAATTTATATATTATAAATATCTTTCGATGGATCCTTTATTTAAAAGGTGTATACGCAGGATTACTTGAATAAATGGTGGGAAAAAAAAATATACTGATAGTGGTTATAAAACATCTAGTGAAGATATGATTGCAGTATTAATTAATAATAATTCTCAGAATATCCAAAAGATTAAGTCTCAAGTTTTACAATAAACGTTCAATTGCCGAAGAATTGTTCATTTTTAATGATCATTTAAAAACATTCTCGACCAAGCTTAATAAAATGGACGAAATTCCTTTTGATCCTTCAAGTGTGTCATCTGTTTCCACTAGATCATTAAATAGAGTTATGATAACATGCTAATTAACTGATTAATATTTTATGATGTTAGAATGTAAAAATATATCCGTTTCACGACGTAGGGAAACCATTAAATCTAACCCGTTTCTTTAAATTTTAAAGTCGTGCCCGCAGCTCTAGTCACTCGTATGTGACGCAACTGAAGTCATAAAGTCCTCAAATTATTACTTACCTTATCATATTCCTTCTCTTCCCGGATTGGCGTTAAATTTAACCTTACAAATTTCTCGAAATGTAATTATTACAAGCGAACTGTCAATCAGGTTGAAATTATAGTAATTACAATAGACATCAACCGGATTCAAACCAGGTTTTATTTGTTATCATAAATTGCATTCATTTTTACAAAAAAATGATTGTATTCTCTTTTTGAGCATAGATTCGGTTGAAAAGCCTATTTTTTTCCGGAAAGTGTGACCTTTGATCCAATAACGACAATTTCAGAATTTCATTTAGAAAAAATTTTTTAGTCACACAATTTTAATTTTGTAATTGCAATTAAAAATTTTTTCTATAATCAAAGCTATCATAACAATAATAAATTGTTTTGGAAACCAGTCAATGCCGGTTATATTAAAATTGTATTCATAATCTGATGGTCATATGAAGTCTCGCTCTTAAATATCTCGAATACCCTATCCTTTTATAGAAAAGCACATACATTTCCTGAGCTTTGACTGCCTGCATTAAAAGGGAATTCAAATATGATTTTTGATTCCAACGCTAATGTTTTTTTTAAATCATATACGGGTGAATAAGTGGTACCCCAAATCTGCGTTTCCTACGTAGAAAATTCTTTCATCACACAAACACAAATTATTATTATGTTAGTTTTTTAGATAAAAATTATTTTTTTTGAGATGAAAATATCACAAAAAGAATAATATGAATTCATTCAAGTATCACCAATTAAAGAAGTTGTATAAAATAAATAAATTCAATTGTGATTGTGTATTATATTAATATAGTATGAAATTCAAGGCTAACAAATTTGGAATCTACAGATAGGGTTTGTATTCACGGATACCATAAGGGGTCACACAGGGTTACACACTAAAAAATCCCTTAAAAACACTTGATTTTAATAGTGTGTAACCCTGTGTGACCCTTTATGGTATCCGTAAATACAAACCCTATCTACAGATTTACATATAAAATTGAAATATTTTATTTGTATTAAACATATATATAACATGGGATTTTATTGCAAAAAACTTTTTAAGAAATTTTTTGTCTAAAGCTTAGTTTTTTTTATATTTAATATAAATATGTCATTATCTTTTAAATTAAATCACTTATTAATTGTTATAAATTATATCCGTAATATATGCCTAGAATAAATATGACCTTTAGGAATTACTATTACTATATTTTTTATTTAACTTCTGATAAATTTTACGATATCGATATTAATGTCAATTTTCTGTGTCACACAATTAATTAGAAGAGGATTCTTTTTCAAAATATTTTGATCATGTCAAATACATCGTGACCAACCTGACCATTAAATAAATCAAATGAATTGCGAATTTGGAAGTGATTTAGTAAAAAAATTTCGAATTAAAAAAACTTCGTTTTAGTTATAGAAATTAATGAATATTCTAGAAATTATTACTCTTGACAGATTAACTCACGAGTCCAAACTTTATATATTTTTTATAAACAAGGTCTTGAAAGCCAACGTTTTTATTTATTACTCGGCTGGCGAGACAATCTATAAGAAACTTCAAATGAAGAAGATGTATAATGTCCAAGCTGTCCTAAATACAATACTAATTGGGAAAATGTGATTCGCCATGATTAACTCAATGTGAAAGTACATTGTTAAAATATCACAATTAAAAGCGCAGGGATCTATTTCAATTTATTTCAATTTATTTATTTTGACATGTATTATTATTGTATTATTATTGTATTATTATCATCATCATTGTATCGTATGGCAATGTATTGTTGTAATGCGGTAGCTTAAATTGGAATATGGGTTTGGATTAAAACTAACTAAAATAATTATGTATCATGTGAGAATACCGACCACGTGGTTTTTTTTAGTCATCTTTAATTGAAAAAGAAATTCCAAATTACTATTATTTGAAATTGGCTAAATGAAATTTCTTTAAAAATATACCCTGATTACTTAAAGACGTTAATCATTTAAGAGAGATAGAAAATAAAGAAAATAAGAAATTCCCAAATTGAATTTTTTATTATTCTGATGCCAAAACGTGACATGATGCCATGATGTCATATGCACAATATTATCGATACTTTAAAAGGTCATTATTATTTTGGATGAACCAAAAAGTAATTAACAATTCAGAACATCCCGAAAAAATTTTATTCTTACTTTCTTTCTTTCTTTCTTGATGTGAATCGCATTGAAATAATAATGAAGAGCAAGAAGGTAAAAAAAGCCTTCGTGGATTTTTTTAAAACGAGATTTTCTAGAAAAAACCCCGCAAATAATATTAACAACGTTTACAATATCAATAGAAACACTGATAATAACACGGTTGATAGCAACATTGATAATCTTAATAACAACGACATTAATAATAGCAACACTGATATTAATCATAACAACACTGATATTAATGATAATAACAGCACTGATAATAACAGCACTGATATTATGATTGATGATAATAACAGCACTGATATTATTATGATTAAGACTGATATTAATAATATTAATGGTAATAACAGCACTGAGATTAATGATAATAAGACTGATAATAATAATATTAATGGTAATAACATTGATAATAATATTGGTGATAATAAGACTGATAATAATATTGGTGGTAATAAGACTGATAATAATAATGGTGATAATAAGACTGATATTAATAATATTAATAATAACATTGATAATATTGATGATGATAATAACCACAGTAATAACGACAATATTGACAATACAACTATTGGTAATTTAACACCTGAAAACAGCAACAACATAATACCTCAAGAGCCTTCAAATGATCTAAAGGAATGGTTGGATAAAGAAAAGGCAATTATTTTTCCTTACAGTATATTTTCTGATATTGCTTATATCAATGAAGGTGCTTCGGGAAAAATTTATAGAGCTAAATGGAAGAGCGATATAGATGTAGCATTGAAAGAAATTAAAGATGACGTTGATTCGAGACGATTTATTTACGAGGTATGACATTTTTAGATTGTAATTTAATGTTGTTATTATCACTTACTAAAATAATCTTTATTTTATCATGTGACTATTTTTAGTTTAGTTCACATAAACAAGTTGATTATGGTGACAGTATTTTGAATATTTACGGAGTAACACAAGGTAATTTTTTCTTTACGAACCAATCAATAAAAAAATAATTAACAATGTATCCTATTTTTTTAAATTATAAAAATAGATCCTGACTCGAGAAATTATTTATTGGTTTTGCAATATGCAAACCACGGGACGCTCCATGAATATTTGTCTGTAAATGCTGATAAATTGTATTGGGGAAACAAACTATGTTTGGCATATCAGCTTGCTAGTGGTATACAAACATTACACCAAGAAGGAATAATTCATCGAGATTTGGTACTTTTTAATGATTTTCTTTCTTTAACAGTAGCATTAACAGTATTATTAATATTATCGTTACTACTACTGCTATAAATATTGTTAATTGAAACATTTTTGTTTTCTTGTTGTTTTTAGCATGCTCGAAATATTCTTGTAGTTAATAACAATATTAAAATTTCGGATTTTGGATTATCAGGATCCAGAAAACAAGTTTACGGAAACATAAAATATACAGATCTCAGATACCCCAAAGATGAGAAATCGGACATCTTTAGTTTAGGAGTTTTGTTATGGCAAATTTCAAGTTGTAAACCGCCGTATGAATCAATTAAAGATGTCCGGGATATTCATCTGAATAATCTAAGAGAAACTAAAGTCGATGGAACACCTGAAGTGTACTTTGATTTGTACACCAGGTGTTGGGATCCAGAACCAAATAATCGACCTGATATCAAATATGTTGTTGAATGTCTTGACGAACTAAGACAACATTATTACACTGTACCAAATATTATTCAAGAGTATCCGAGCGGGTGCTTACAAAGTGCTTCGACAGATCATAGCCATAGCAGTGGAACGTATCATAAGCTTGATTTGCACGAACTTATAAATGAACGCCATATGAAACAAATTATGGGTAGCACTAGTAATAGTAATCAATACATTAGTGACTCTAACATTTGTGACACTAACAACAGTGACAATAATGACAATACAATTAACATTGATAACTCTTTTAATAGTTTTGACAATTCTATTATAATGCCTCTTGATGATCCTCCTCATATCCATTCAGTTCCAATAACAAACAACAACAACAACAAGGATGACGACAACGACAACGACAACAGCAGAAACAACAACGACAACAACAACGACAACAACGACGACGACGACTACGACAACAGCGGAAACAACAACGATGACGACGACGACGACGACGACGATGCATCAGAAAATAATAAAAATAAAAATGAACTATCCGAGAAAACCCCTGAAGAAAATCTTCTATCTGCTGGTGATAATAATAAAAGTGATGATAACAATGATAATAAAGATGTAGAAGGCTGTAAAAATGAAGTTGATTATCATTCTGTCGGAGTGAAGAATACAATTAATGACTTGAAAATGTCATTGAATGGTGATAATGAAGAAGAATATGAACCTTGGTTTTTTTTAATGAAACTTTTTTTATCTCAAACAACGCCAAACTTTTCTTGTTACCTAAGGCGTTAGTTAACTTTCACTTAATTTGTGTGAAGTATGTGTGCCACGTTATCATATATTTTAACATAACTCTAATAAAACTATTTATTAATAATATATTATGTAAGTTTTGCACTATAATACATCCAGATAATTAACCAAATCGCCCAAGAAATTAGAAATCTATGCATTTGTGATAGAACAAATAAAATTTAAACGAAAAAAAATTAAATCTGATTCTTCAAGAATCACTGCAACAATTCATCCAAATGATAATTTATTCTTAATTGCTTAAAGTATATCACCATTTAGCAGAAAAATTTAAAGACTGTGTCAAAAAATTTGATCTTTCTACATGTTAAAAAGCAAAAAAACCATTTATCGATATGATGTAGTGTCACTTTTTATGACCAAGTTCAATAAAATGGTGACCTTTATTAATACTTAAAAAGAAATTACTTTTAACAAAGAGAATTGACCGAGAAACCAATCCTTCGAAATCTCGACTTCCTACATAACCTTCCTCCTTTTTTTTTTTTGATTTCATGTTTTTTGACATTTTTTCTATCGTTTTGCATAAAAAGTTTGGTGCACAACAATTTAACAAACAAACATTATTTCATGTGCACCCGATTTTATAAATAAATAAACAGACTCTCTATTAATGAATGGATGTGTTAATATGCATCGTTCACATGATAAATCAATAATGTTCCGCGGTTTTATGATTTATTTATCGAACTACTGGATATTTGAATGTTTACAAATATAAAAACATGCCCAATGCCCTTTTTTTACAGCATTAATATATATACTGATGTAGAGAAAGCATCAAATATAATTTCTTTAAAATCTCTAGGTGCCGCAATTGGAGGTCATTACTATTACCTTGTCTTAAGACACCACCCACCCTCACTCCTTGGTGAGCATTGAAATCAACTAATAATAATAATAATAATAACATAATAACATAACATATTATTAGTAGCATAGTACTGTGCCGGTTGATCCAACGTTGAATGAAAGTGAATTATAATTATATCGATCCTGGACAATAGAAAAAGACCATAACGTGAAAAAAGAAATTCCACTCCTTATATATAATTAATAGGCATTTTGCATAGTAATATTTTCTCTAAAGTTCAAAAGTAACAAGTAAATCCTTAAATATAAACCTTTTTTTAAATTTTCTCTATTGTCCAGGCCTCATATAACATACATTTTGTACACTCAGAAGAATACATCAGTTGACTCTGCCTCCTCCCCACTTAGGGAAGCATCAAATTCCCGAGACTGTTAAAATTATTTATTTCGGGTCGGAAGTACGGGAAGGACATAAAGTCGGAGCAAAGTTCGTCAAACTAAATCACTATTATACTACTTGGGAGGACTGGGTGGACGAGCAAAATTTTCAGCTTTTAGCAAATTGTTTTAATTCCAATATTTTGTTATTTTCGTATGTTGCCTTTCACGAAAGTGCGTGCCTATCCAAATGTAAATTTCCTTTCCTGTCATAATTAGCTCCCGTTACGATACAAGTCTCACTACAGTGAAAAATTGTATATGGTTGCTTTGACAGTAGTGAGCTAATGTTTGTGACACAGCGCAAATTTGATTTTCAAAATGTCTAAAATATATTAATCTCTATCTTTAACCGTGTATCATCCATAAATATAATCTTTAGTTTTATTTTCACTCACTACATTCAATCAATAACGCTATGTAATTTCTTCGCGGTTTATAATGCCGAAACCTTAGAAAGTGCCGGAGTCAAACATCAATTGCCAAAGCTCAACTGTTTATAATGGTAAAGTGTTTTTTTTTCCCCCTAGAATTGTTGACATAGAAAAGATTTTCATTATAATAAAAAATCGTGCGTGCATTAATAAATACATGTTGTTTTAATAAAGAAAAGAATGATTGAACTTTAGAATTTTTATTCTTTATTTTGAAAATCTTTCCAAGTTTTTTCTTTTTCTTAAAATAGCAATTTTTTCGAATTCAATTTTAATTGTTGGGTGATTGGTTGATTGGTTGATTGAATGTTTATCGTCTATTCTATTCGTTATTATTATTGACTATTGCTTGCTCAATAATATTATTTACGCGATTCCAATTTTGAATATCACAAATATTAAGGACGGCTTGGATTGAAAAAGGATTTTCCAAAGATAAAAACAAACTTGGCTCAATAATGTCATTTACGCGATTTCCAATTTTGTATCACACAAATATTAATGACGGCTTGGATTTAAAAATAATTTTCCAAAGATAAAAATAAACAGTATTGATTATTGCTTGCTCAATATTATTTACGCGATTCCAATTTTGAATATCACAAATATTAAGTACGGCTTGGATTGAAAAAAGAATTTTCCAAAGATAAAAATAAACAGTATTTGGCTCAATAATGTCATTTACGCGATTTCCAATTTTGTATTTCACAAATATTAATGACGGCTTGGATTTAAAAATAATTTTCCAAAGATAAAAATAAACAGTATTGATTATTGTTTGCTCAATAATATTATTTACGCGATTCCAATTTTGAATATCACAAATATTAAGAACGGCTTGGATTGAAAAATAATTTTCCAAAGATAAAAATAAACAGTATTGGTTATTACTTGCTCAATATTTATTACGCGATTCCAATTTTGAATATCACAAATATTAAGGGCGGCTTGGATTGAAAAATAATTTTCCAAAGATAAAAATAAACAGTATTGGATTTCCAATTTTGAATGCCAGAAATATTAAGGGCGGCTTGGATTGAAAAATAATTCTCTAAAAATAAAAAATAAAATAGTATTGGGTTAATAATGAGGCTCTGTATGTTTATTTTCTCGTAATCATTTTTTTTCTTAAATCGTATCTAAATTTGGCAGAAATAAATAATTTTTAAAACTAAAATCACGTGAAGTCCTATTTTTGAAAAATTTTAACGAATTACAACAACATATGACGCAATTGATCTAATTTTAGACGTGTACTACAATCAAAAGATCTACTAAGCCCGATTGCATAGCCTTGAAAAAAGAAATTTTTTTTTAATGTCAATCAACATAACAGGAAATTAAAATTAAATGCCAATTCGAGAATACAAATTTTACTCTCTCCCATACGCAATCAAGGCTTTTGATTTTTGTTTTTTTGAATCAGATAATCTATACTAATGGTCGATTGTTCGTAAATACGCAAAGCTTAAAAAGATATTGATATAAAATCGCTAAATAATGCGATAGGAGAAAGCTTAAAGACACGGATATAAAATCTATTAATTAAAAAAACGTGGCTATGAGATATATCTGATTGTTATAATTATAATAAATTGGATTGATTCTCAGTATTAATAATTAATAAATATAGTAAAGATATGGCTATGTACAAATTACTCTTAGGCTTTGCTAAAGCTTGACTATTCAATATTAGTAAGTGGCTTGTTATTAAACGAATTATTAAGAAATAATAATAGTTCGTTAGTAATACTTAGGAACCAAAACATCTATATAAACACTCAAATTCTCGTCAAATCCCAATTTCATTCTTCATTCTTCACAATAAAATAATAATAATAATAATAAAATAAAATATATAAAAAATATATATATTTAAAAAAAAATGAAATTTAGTCTTTATATCTTGTTTTTAATTTCCTTGTTCGTCGCCTTGGTCTTTGCTAAAGCCGATGGGCCAGGGGAAGAAGATTTAGAAGAAGGTAAGTTACTACGCCTAACCCAATCAAAAAAATCAATCAATAAAAACAATTCTAATAATTTATTTTTTACTTCACAAAATAAAAAAATTAATTAGATCTCGCCAAACGTTCCGCTGATCCATACTACAATAAATACTACCACAAGTACTACAAACGTAATGCCGAAGATGAAAAAGATCTCGCCAAACGTAATGCATACTACAATAAATACTACCACAAGTACTACAAACGTAATACCGAAGAAGATGAAGAACTAGACAAGCGTTCCGCCGAACCATACTACAATAAATACTACCACAAGTACTACAAACGTAATGCCGAAGAAGATGATGAAAAAGATCTCGCCAAACGTGATGCATACTACAAAAAATACTACCACCATTACTACAAACGTGATGCCGATGCTGATGCATACTACAAAAAATACTACCATCATTACTACAAACGTGATGCCGATGCTGATGCATACTACAAAAAATACTACCATCATTACTACAAACGTGATGCCGATGCTGATGCATACTACAATAAATACTACCACAAGTACTATTAAAAATAAATTAATACTTTTTACAAAAAATGCCTATATTATTAAAAAAATTATTATATAAAATTTGATTTTAAATATCAACTTCTTCAACTTGCTTTTCTTTTTCTTTTTTGTATAAATTTTTTTATATTTTTACCTTTTTTTTTTTCTTATTTGTATATATAAATTTTTGTATATTATATATATTAAATCCCTTTTTTAAAATGTAACTTTTTTTTGTTCTAAAAATACATAAAAATAAAAGCCTGTTGAAAAGTTTTATTTGAATTTAAAAAAATGCTCTATTTATTTTAGTGTTATTTTTTACCAAACAATTTGTTCTCGCCCAAATGTTTAACTTCAACCAAAAGTTATAATTACCTAAAATTTGTATTTACGCTTTATAAATTAATAAATTTCATTCAAAAAAGTAAAAAAGTACTTATTAGAATTGTTTTTTATATTATTTATTTTTTAAGCTTCGTAATTAAAGATCAATACAAATATATCATATATATTTAATATTTATTATATATTATTTTTGAATTTACAATATATGTATTTACTAAGAATTAATATATATAATATATATATATATATATAATAATTATTTTATATTATTTTTAAATGATTATTATCTATTGACCACCACGGAGACGAAGGACAAGGTGGAGGGTTGATTCTTTTTGAATATTATAATCGGAAAGAGTTCTACCATCTTCCAGCTGTTTTCCGGCAAAAATTAATCTTTGTTGATCTGGTGGAATACCTTCCTTGTCTTGGATTTTTTGTTTAACGGCATCGATGGTATCAGAGGATTCGACTTCAAGTGTTATTGTTTTACCGGTAAGTGTTTTGACAAAAATTTGCATACCACCACGAAGACGAAGAACCAAATGAAGTGTAGATTCTTTTTGAATATTATAATCGGAAAGAGTTCTACCATCTTCCAGTTGTTTTCCGGCAAAAATTAATCTTTGTTGATCTGGTGGAATACCTTCCTTGTCTTGGATTTTTTGTTTAACGGCATCGATGGTATCAGAGGATTCGACTTCAAGTGTTATTGTTTTACCGGTAAGTGTTTTGACAAAAATTTGCATACCACCACGAAGACGAAGAACCAAATGAAGGGTAGATTCTTTTTGAATATTATAGTCTGAAAGAGTACGACCGTCTTCTAATTGTTTTCCGGCAAAAATTAATCTTTGCTGATCTGGTGGGATACCTTCTTTGTCTTGAATTTTTTGTTTTACAGCGTCAATAGTGTCTGATGATTCGACTTCGAGAGTGATTGTTTTACCAGTGAGTGTTTTAACGAATATTTGCATTTTGTTTTAGTAGTAATAATATTTTTTTTTAATAATAATAATTTTATTTTTATTTGAAAAATGGTAGAAGTTACGATTATAATATTTTTTTTGACTGAAAAACTGAAAAAGAATAATAATAATAATGAAAAAAAAAAAAGGAATTTTGATGTTCTTTTTATGATTGTGATGAAATTACATAAAATGGCGTGATTTTGGATAAGAAAGAAATTTTCGTGATTGCGAGAAAATAATAAACAAGTTTTTAAACCAATTAACGTCTCGTAAAACAAAATCGATCTAACCGTGAATGGATGGCTTTCGCAAATACATTAAAATACAGGGGTTACACATATTGAGCAGCTGATCGATCAATTATGCAGGATATTATCGGATCAACCAGTCTTTTATATACATAATAATAGAATATTTACATGTTCGATATGTTCGGTGATGATATTCACATGAATTAAGAAAAATGTTTTAATTGTTTTAGCAAAATATATAATATGTATATAAAAAAACTTGCAAAGAACAAACAAAAATCTTTTTTTTACAACTATTGTTAACAATAAACCGCCCAACTAACTTTAAATGGGAAGGGGGTTTTTAAGTACTGCCATAAAATTTTGAGCGACCAGTGTTTGTAGATTTAGATGGTTGACGCTCCGGATCTCTGACATGAGCAGATCTAACAAGTCCTTCATATTCATTTCTGTAATCTTGATCGGTTGGAGGATGATTTGGCAAGCTTTTGAGTAAAATAAATGAAGCGAGAAGTGCAAGCACCTAAAAACATGATAAATGAGAAAATTTTTTATATTAATATCCTTCCACAAGTTAATAATAATAACACACATTCGTCCTTTGATTAACTTTTTTACCTGAACGATTGCCAAAATCAATCCTAAAATACCCAAGGCCGTTTGATTACTTTTATAAACATTAGTCAGACTAGCCAAACAAGATTGATCATAACCAAACCATGGATTTTTTTCACATGCGTCAGGCGATGATTTAGGAATTGCACGATCTTTTGTATTTCTAAATCCACAACAGAAATACTAAATGTGTATGGCATTCACACAAAAAAATTTATATATTTAATTTAAAAATTTAATTAAATCAATTGATTAGTTGCTCTTTCTTTACCTTATGTTCAATATCACGTATAAGACCTGGTTGATCTACGTACGCTTTATCCCATGCTTTATCAAGAATATTCTCCACCTAATAATTGATCAAAAGTGAACGAGTTAGCAAATTAACGAAAGATGAAAAAAGCATAGAATATTGAAAGATAAATTAAATAATTACATTTCTAGCATTAGAAAACATAATGATTGCAATGTTGACTTGAGCTATTATTAGAACTGTAAGAATTATAAAGTACTGATTTATAATAACATTAATTTAATGATCGTCAAGGAAATAACAATTTCTTTTTAAAAAAAAAAATTCCATCAGATTAGATAAAAAGGATACAGCAATTAAAACTTGTTTATGTTCAATAACAGCACCACAACATCCAACCATAGAAACCAAAAGAACAAACAATCCAAGAATAAAGGATGCAAGAGGTATTGCGTAAGAAGCAAAATGTACATCAGTTGCAATCATTCCATAAATACTTGCACCAATCAAAATTAATGCAGAAATCTGAGCGAAATAAAATAGGGAAATAATTAATTCAACTAGCAATCAAAAGAAAATAAAAATCAAAAAAGGAATAATAATTAGAATACTGACAGATGATAAAGTATTTGCCAATATCACGATCGCTCTTCCTGTTTCAACTGTTACAGCCATTTTTTTATGTTTTTAAATTTTAAATTTTGAATTATTGAATTATCGAATCGAATGAAAATTTTCAAGTATTTATAGAAAAAGTCTCAAGATGGAGAGAGCGAAAGTGGAGAGAAATAAAAATATATATTTATTCACACGTACATTAATTAATTTTATTATTATGTCGTATTTATTTATTATTTCGACAAAAAAATTAAAATGACGTTTGAAATTTTTGCCTTTATTAAATTATAGTCTAGCGCATTCCGTAATTATCTCATCCTTACATCATAAATTTATGTGCACACTACACAAAACTGTGCAGAAGGATTATAAATTCTAGAAATGGAAAAATTAATTAACTTGCTGCTCCTCTTACATGATGTCACAAGAGGTCACATGGGTCAAAATTTGATGAAATACTGGTGTATATAAAGAATGAAACCTGAAACTTTTTATAATTAAAATAATAATCTGATTATCTTTAAATGTATTATTTTTGCGGTTCATGTTCAGTAATTATTATAAAAAATGAGTTGGGGCAAAGAGAAGTTCGTTACGGCGCGAGTTTGCTTAATATAAAGGCGTATCGTGGAAAGGGCAAATTGCGTTTATTTAATAAATATCATTTATTATAAAATAATTAATTGATAATTATAGTGGGATTAATTGATCATATATTGACAATTCCAGTTTCGGCCTCAACTTTATCAGTATTATAAATTATAATTATTATAACCTTTCAATTCTTTAATTTGCTTGAAGGATATGATATGTTTATTGATAAAAAAAATTAATAGTTGATATTTCAATCTTCCACATTAACATTATATGTAATATATCTGATTCTTTGATATTTTCTTTTCCTTGGAAAATTCAGATGCAATGTACGGCATGATTTCATAAGTTTTATTCGATGAAATAATTCTGAATAACAACAATTGCCACCTTCATTTTTTTTTAATGTCAAATTAGAATGGCAACTTTAAAATAATCTAACAAGTAAAATGAGAAAATTTGGCAAAGTTGGAAAATAGACCCTTGATGTTTTTAATCAGTGCCTCCTTTCCGTGTAGCATAGTGGTTCCGTCGCCTTGTCATCCAAGTGGTAGTGAAAAGGTTTTGTGGTCAAGCCACGTTTTTTCCCAATTGTATACAATTATAAATCATATATACATGGATTTCCTTAACAATCATTTCTGAAAATAAAATGAGTAACATTAAATCTAACATTAGAACTATTCTTCTACGACTATGCAAATGCGTCTTGTTGTCCTAAAACAACTATGTATTTTTAAAATCTCAAAATTTTTAAGAAGTTTATTAATTTTCAATTGGACTTGGGCTGGAAATCGGACAAGACAAGTCTAATTGACGCATTACCATGCTAGACTGTCCAATATGCCAACTAAATACACTTGGTGGACAAAAGTTTGCGTCCAAAATTTCTTTTGAGAGCTATACTAATTAAAATATTGTAAGCTTATATCATTCGAATACTCTTGTGTTTGTGACATTAAATTTTGAAGTTTTGTCATAAAAAAAGACAAAAATAAAAAAATAAAAAAAATAAAAAAATAAAAAATAAAAAATAAAAAATAAAAAATAAAAAATAATGTTGATAGATAAAAGGCTTATTTTTAATATCTAGTTGGCCAACCATTGTTGGCAATGCAATATTCAACTCTTCTGGACTGTAACGAACATATTCTCAAGAACAAGAGCTTTTGAATGATATAAAGGTTACAATATTTTAATTAAAGAAATTTTGAATACGAACTTTTGTCCACCAAGTGTATGTTGAAAATAAATTTTTGAATAAAAAAAAGGTAAAATTAGAAAAATGGGAAAGTTTAATGTTTGCAATAGGAGAACAAACATAACATCAAATATAGCTGAGGAAGAAAGAGCAGTTCCTGTTCTACATTTTCAAGTATTATTTTTTTTTATTTGGTAATTAAATTGCAAACTATAAGTTATTCAAACATAAAAATTGAGATAATGGTTTTAGGCAGATATTGTTCTTTTTTTTATTTTTTAAATGATAAATTATCAAGAATGTCGTTGGCATCATCAGTAATTGATATTATTATTAATAATAATTATATTGTATATATAACATTGTATTAATATTTGTTAAATGTTATGCGACCATCAAAATCAAAATACCTAGTTGATATTACTAATATTATTACTAATGGTTATGGGCAATTATTGTATATATAGCATCGTATTAATGTTTGATTTCTCCTATGGTCAAATGACAAAAATATTCTAGTTGGTATTGCTAATGGGTAATATTACGTACTGTTAACAATAATTCTTATGTATTAATGTTTGTTTGTAGTTAAACGATGGATTACTATTTACCCGGCCATCAAAAATATTCTAGTTGATATTACTAATGGCAACAGGCAATAATATTTGTTTTCTTCTATGGTTGGTTGAACGACCGATGATTGTTACACGACCATCAAAGAAAAAAATTTAACATCAGTATCAAAGTTGGCATTATTATATATTAGTAAATTTTGTTGCTACTATTAAATATAAATTTTCTATTATTCCATATTAATTTTAATATAGTTCATTTCAATAAAATAAAAAATTCTGTTATTTGCATTTTCCCACAAAAATCACCCGCGATTGCTAATTTTAATTTAATTTCTAAATATTAATATGCCTAGCCTGCAATAAAAATTTAAAATATGCTGCGGTTGCGGTTGATTTTTGCGAAAAAATACACGATTATAAGGAATCATTAAGCCTAAAAAATTACTGATGATATTGGACTGTCCAGTATGCCAGTGCAAATTTGTTACATAGATCCCAAAAAAAAAACTAGTGGTAGTATCCGTCGGATATTCGGATATTCGCCGATCATCCTTTCACAAAATTTTGATATCCGAATACTCAAATAATTTTGACATCCGAATACTCAATTGTCAAATAACTTTGATATCCGAATATTTGATCGATTTGCCAGTTTTGATATTCGGATACCCGAATATCCGTCAAATATCCGTCAAATATTAATGTCTCAATATAATAATAACGAATTTACTATATACGTTTATTTGAATTATTTTTTTGTGGGTTGATATTAATTAATTGGTTGTTATTGACATGAGAGTTCTCATCTTGATTTTCCTCTAAATTCAATAATAATATTATCATTATTACTCATTTTTTATTATTAATGC